CAATATGTCCATGTCTCTCTTGTACTGGGGAGCCCAAAACCAGAGACAGTACTCCACGGGAGGCCTTGCCAGTGCTGAGTAGAGGGGAAGGATCCCCTCTGACAACCTGCTGGGAATGGGGATACCATCAGCCTTCTTTCCAGAAAGGGCACATAGTTGGCTCATGTTCAACCTGGTGTCCAGTGAGGACCCCCAGGTTCCTTCTCTGCCCAGCTGCTTTCCATCTGGGTGGCCCACAGAATCACAGAATCGCAAGGGTTGGAAGGGACCTCGGGAGATCATCTAGTCCAACCCACCTGCTAAAGCAGGCTCTCCTAGAGCATTCTACACAGGACTTTGTCCAGGTGGGCTTTGAATATCTCCAGAGAAGGAGACTCCACAACCTCCCTGGGCAGCCTTTTCCAGTGCTCTGTCACCCTTAGAGTAAAGAAGTTTTTCCTCATATTCAACTGAAACCTCTTATGTTCCAGTTTGCACCCATTGCCCCTAGTCCTATTGCTGGACACCACTGCAAACAGACTGCTTCCATCCTCGTGACTTCCGCCCTTACGATATTTGTACGTGTTGATAAGGTCCCCTCTCAGTCTTCTCTTCTTCAGGCTGAACAAGCCCAACTCTCTCAGCCTTTCCTCATAGGGGAGGTGCTCCAGTCCCTTTATCATCCTAGTTGCCCTCCTCTGGACTCTTTCTAGGAGTTCCTCATCTTTCTTGAACTGGGGAGCCCAGAACTGGACACAGTACTCCAGGTGGGGTCTCACCAGGGCAGAGGAGGGGGGGAGGATAACCCCCCTCGACCTGCTGGCCACACTCCTCTTAATACACCCCAGGATACCATTGGCCTTCTTGGCAACAAGGGCACATTGCTGGCTCATGGTCAGCTTATTGCCCACCAGGACTCCCAGGCCCCTCTCAGCAGAGCTGCTATCGAGCAGGTCACCCCCCAGCCTGTACTGGTGCATGGGGTTTGACCTCCCCAGGTGCAGCACTCGACACTTGCCCTTGTTGAACTTCATCAGGT